ATGCAAAATCTCTAAACGGAGTAATCACAAAGATGATGCCACCACGGTACTCCTGGTTTGATCCTAAGCAAGTGCAAGGACACGGTGTACAAAACGAATCGAGCAGAATTATATGAGTAGATGAGACGACGCAATCGTCTGCACGAGTTATGGACTCGACAAAAAAAAACGCATCCCGGCACTTCAAAAGAATAATATGAATGGGCTATGAGCTTTAATTATAATGACATCCTAGTGGTTTGTGAGGATCCAAAAGGTATCACAGAGCTAAACTAAATTAATGGTACTTCAGTTGAATAAAAGACCACTGATTTTGAACATTTCTTTGGTCTAGTCGAGGCAACCCGGCATAATCATGGCCAGAATAAACATGTAGTTTACAGTTGGGCATCTTACCACAATTTTTGGCACTTCTCAATTTCCCTCGACTCGACAACAAACAAATCAACTCGCAAACGACCGGCACAAGTTGTAAGGTTATATGGCGACTTCGGACTATGTCGAAGCGAACACGCCCAAGAAGGGAGAGCTCAGAGACAATAGTGACGTTGCTGTGTTAGAACACACTCCCAGTGTGATCTCGAAGGATACTGCCGCACACGCCAAGTCAAATGGAAAGCTGGTGTCTTTGAGCGACTTGCTGTCGTTTGCCGACGACAAGGACCATTTACTCATGGCTGCCGGTACTATTGGTGCTTTAGCTGCTGGAATGGCTCAACCTCTGCAGATTGTACTGATTGGAGATGTGCTCAATGGGCTAAACCCCACGGATTCTTCGTCAAGTATCGTGGGGAAGGTCGACGATGCCGTGCTCAACTACGTCTACGTCGCAGTCGTCGCCATGCTCGCTGGATTCCTTCAAGTTGCTTGCTGGTCTACCACTGCGTCACGTCAGGTGAAACGGATCCGCGGGGCGTACGTAAGGTCGATTGTGACGAAAGAGATGGGATGGTTCGATGTGAACGAGCCAATGCAGCTCTCCACTCGAATCGTTGAGGCGGCGTTGATGATTCAGGAAGGAATGGGTCGCAAGATTGGCGACGGTCTGCATAGCTTGTCAATGGCTCTGACTGGAATTGCCATTGGGCTGATCAAAGGATGGGAAATGGCTCTGATTCTGATGACGTTGATGCCCTTTGTTGCGTTCACAGCCTTCCTGTCGATGAAGGTGATGACTAAAGCCACCCAAACGGGTATCGAAGCGTACGGACAGGCAGGTGCCATTGCTCAAGAATCCCTAAGTAATGTGCGTACGGTGCACACGTTCAACGCCTGCCAACATTTCATCGATAAGTACAAACGTGCATTAGACTCGGCAACTCGAGCTGGAATCAGCAAAGGTTTTGCTGTTGGATGGGGAACTGGTTTGATGTTCTTCACAATGTTATGTACCTACGCGGCTGGCATGTTCTACGGAGCATACAAAGTTGCCAATGATCAGCTAGACGGAGACAAGTGTACTGGGTCTGGATGCTACGACGGTGGGCGTGTTGTTGTGGTTTTCGCTGCAGTTTTAACTGGATCAATGGCAATCGGGCAAGCTGCTCCCAGTGTAGAGGCCCTCGTTGCAGCAAGAGCTGCGGCCTACGATGTTTTCCAAACTATTCGTCGTGCATCTCTCATTGATCCACTCAGTGATGAAGGCAAGATTCTGGACAAAGTGTCGGGGGAGATTGTGATCAAGAACGTATCGTTCGCATACCCTTCTCGCCCAGACGCACAGGTGTGCAGCAACTACTCACTGACAATCAGAGCTGGAGAAACGGTGGCTCTTGTCGGACCAAGTGGGAGTGGAAAAAGCACGATCGTTTCGCTACTAGAACGCTTCTATGATCCATTGAGTGGAGTCGTGTCCATTGACGGCGTAGATGTGCGTGACTTGAACGTGAAGTGGCTTCGCCAACAGATTGGGCTTGTCAACCAAGAACCTATTCTGTTTCCGACAACCATTAAGGAGAATATCCGCCACGGAGCTCCGTCAGCATCGGATGAACAGGTCATGCAAGCAGCGAGGATGTCAAATGCATTCGACTTCATCGAAACTCTTCCACAGGGCTTCAACACCGAAGTGGGAGAACGAGGTACACAGTTGTCTGGGGGCCAAAAGCAGCGCATCGCCATCGCTCGAGCCATTGTGAAAAACCCACCGATTCTTCTACTGGATGAAGCTACCAGTGCCTTGGATACCGAGAGCGAGTACATAGTGCAGAAGTCTCTTGACCGACTACTCGCTGCCTCCAGACGAACTACAATTGTGATCGCACATCGGTTGTCGACAATCCGGAATGCAGACCGTATTGCTGTCCACGAAAATGGGTCCATTGTGGAGATCGGATCGCACGATGAGTTGATGAAAATACCCGATGGCCACTATCGCAAATTGGTTGAATTGCAAAGTCCTTCTATCGAAGTTGACGATGAATCAACAGTGTCTAACGGACCACGGACGCTCGTCCAAGACACCACGACTGGTAGCCTGACAATTGCAGACAACAAGTTCGTGTTGACTGCTGGAGAGGATACGACATCTCCGTCTTCTAATGTGCTTTCTAGAGTCCGGAAGATGGCTTCTCCCGAGTGGATATTCTTGTTTGGAGGTGGCCTTGGCGCCATTTTGAATGCGGGTGTGTTCCCTGCATGGGGAGTCATGATGGCAAAGATTACAGTGCTCTTCTTCGACTACAGCAAGACCGAGCATGAGATGGTTCGTGACGCACGGTACTGGTCGTTGGGCTTCGTTGCTCTAGGCGTAGTCTTCGGTCTCTCGAAAGTATTGCAGCACTATTGTTTTGCAGTGGCGTCCGAAAGACTCATCGCGCGTGTTCGCCTCGCGGCCTACAGCGCTATGTTGCGTCAAGATATTGGCTGGTTTGACAAGCCTGAAAATGCTTCTGGAGCTCTTCTCGCTCGTCTGTCCAGCGATGCTACCACGCTTCTGGCTCTGACGTCCGAGTCATTGAATCGATTGCTGGTGAACGTGACGACTTTGGTGATTGTGTTTGCTGTCTGCTTTTATTTTAGCTGGCAAATGACTCTCATCCTCTTGGCAGTGGCACCACTGCTAACGATATCCTCCTTCATGGTCAACATGTCCGTAGCTGACGGGGACTCCACTTCAAAGAAAAACAACGATGCTGACGTATCTGCTGGTGCTCTCCTCACAACGGCCATCGACTCTATTCGCACGGTTGCATCTCTAGGCATGGAGAAAGAGTTGAGTTCAAAGTACATAGAGCTACTGGAGGTGTCCAAGCAAACGGACACGAGAGGTGGTCTTGTCGCTGGAGCGGCATTCGGCTTTTCGCTGGGAATGATGCTTCTCGTTGCGGCACTTCTCTTCTATGTCAGCTCGCGGTGGATCTCGCACGGCACCATCACGTTCGAAGACATGTTCGCAGTGCTCATGGTCTTCTCGCTCAGCTCCTTCTCCATCGGATCCGCGGCACAGGGAGCTACCGACCCGAAGAAGGCGCAGCAGTCAGCAGAGAATATTTTCGAGATCATTGATCGCGTTCCACCAATCGACGCTCTGTCGACCGACGGCAAATTGTTTTCTTCTGTTAACGGTAGTCTGGAGTTCCGTGACGTGCAGTTTGCGTATCCGTCGAGACTGGGGGCCCAGATCTACAACGGATACAACTTGACGATTGCTCCTGGACAAACGGTAGCTCTCGTCGGGGCCAGTGGATGCGGTAAGAGCACAGCAATTGCACTGCTGGAGCGATTCTATGATCCTCACACTGGATCTGTGAGTCTGGACGGCGTGGATCTCCGCCATTTAAGTCTCCCTTGGCTTCGTGACCGGATTTCACTTGTGAGTCAGGAACCCGTACTCTTCGCTGGAACAATTGCCGAAAACATAGCTCTCGGTAAACCCGGTGCAACCCGCGAGGAGATCACTCAAGCCGCTCAAGATGCCAGTTCTCTGGACTTCATCCGCAATCTCCCGGACGGGTTTGACACCAATGTTGGCGATCGCGGTGGCCACATTTCGGGCGGCCAGAAGCAACGTATTGCATTGGCGCGTGCCATCGTGCGAGATCCAGACATCTTGCTGCTCGACGAAGCGACAAGTGCACTGGACAACGAGAGCGAAAGAATCGTGCAGTCTTCACTCAATCGGTTGCTGAAGCTCAAACAGCGCACGACAATCATCGTGGCGCATCGGCTTTCAACGATTCGCAATGCTGATCTCATCGCTGTGACGGAACAGGGGGCAGTTGTCGAGATCGGTACTCACGATGAACTGGTTCAACTTCCAGAAGGCAGATACAAGCAACTGCTCGCTCGGCAAGCCAATCAATCGTAATGACGATGGCGACCGAGAGGCTGAGATCATGTCGCCATACGTTCATCACCAACAATAATACAACTGCATTAACAAGGACGCGATACTTGTAAATTTCTAACGAACTCATACAAGGGACACATAGTGAGGAAATGCGTCTATATTTCATCGATTGTCTTAGCACAAAGGTAGTGTTTTCACGAGAAGTGCGTTGTCAGAACGACAACGAGAGAATTTCGGAAGTTCGAACTGGATGGGTTGGTAAAATTTTTAGTCACTTACTTTCACAGGCGTACGGGGTGGATCGGTAATGGTGCTAAACGTCCTGGCAATCGATCGACGATCGAGCAAGTATACCGTGGTGGCATCATCTTTGTGATTACTCCGTTTAGAGATTTTGCAT